GGTCATGGGGCCTGAACTCTGGGCCTGGGCGCTGTCCCTCAGCTCTTCAGCTCAAGGCTAGCGCTCTACCACTTGAGCCACAGCGCCACTTCCAGCTCTTTTCTTTTTGCTTATGTGGCGCTGAGGAATCGAACCCAGGGCCTCATGCATGCAAGGCAAGCGCTGTACCACTGAGCCACCTTCCCAGCCCCCTGTCAATTTTTTTTTAGAAGTGAAAGGACACTACTGAAAGTTCCTTGCAGACAAAAGTAGCTGTTGCATAGGTGTGTAGGTGACATGTGGCAGTTCTCGCACACATACAGGCTGGTAGTATGCCCTTTTCTAGTCTTGGATGGTGGTTTCAGATCAGCCTTAGCAAAAAGTTAGCAAGATCCTATCTCAACAAATAAGCAGAGCATGGTACTTCATGCCTGTGATCTCAGTTACTTGGGAAGCATAAGTAGGATGATGATCTGAAGCCAATCTAGACAAAAAACACGAGACCCTATCTGAAAGACAAAGCTAAGAGGGCTGGCAGTATGGCTCAAGGATAGAATACTTCCTAGCAAGTACAAATGCCCTGACTTCAGTACTCACTATGGCTCAAGGGGAAGTAAAGACAATGTGGTGAAGAAGTTCACGATAACACTGCCTCAGAAGCTGCTAGTCTGTAAAGGTGGATGGAGATAGAGGTGTTCCCAGGGCAGTGTCACACAGAAGCTGGAGCAGGGCCTCGTGTGACTCAGGTACTTTTCTTGCTGATACATCTGACCATATCCCTGTGCTAATGGGAACGTTTGCCCTGCTTGCCAACCTGGAAGCAGTGAATCTTTCATTTTCATGTGAAGGCATGGGATACATGATGCAGGCCAACTTAGGAACTGTTAGCTATGAAAACCACAAAATGATCCCATTACCACCTTTTAAAACCCTCTGGTTCGTTCCTTACGTAGACTATTTTATCAGCTTACCTGGATTCCTTTTTCACTGGCTGCTCTTGTTCTGCTCATCTTGGCTTCATTTCCTGTTTTGTTGACCTTGCCTAGAAGGAAGCATGGAAGTAATTGTGAGTACTTCATGACAGAAATGCTGTGTTGGAGAGGCTTGCTGTCTGGAAGTGCAGGTGGACATAACCTGTTTTCAGGTGGTACAGGTGTTTGAAGGTGGTACAGGTGCCACTTCCTTGAGGGGTGAGAGTAGAAAGGGTTGGTTGGTTTGGTTTGGACTGCAGTGGGTAGATGGATGCTGGTACAGAAAGGCCTCACATAATGATTTTTCTTTGAGCCACACTCAGTTGATACTTAAAATAGTGTATATTTAAGTACATAACATATTTTGGGCCATAGAGACTAAGCTGTTACAGTAGTGAAACAAATCCACCATCACTGGACATATCAGTGGTTGCAGGCTGCTCCTCGTTCAGGCTTAATAGTGAAATCTACAAATCTATGCATGGGGCTTTTGTCATCCCCTGTGAAGTCATGGCTCACTTGTATTACAAAAGTACGAAAGTGAAAAAAGCCATATCAGGCGTAACTTTGGTTGTATAAAATTCTGTGAACAGCTTTTATACACAAGGCTGCCTTTTGTTAACTTGTTAATATTGGCTATTAAGTGGGAAAAAAAATTTAAGGACAAAAATTTGACCTCAAAAGTACAAGGTTCTGAGTTCAAATTCCAGTACTGTTAAAAAAGAGTTTGATACACTTATGCCTAACTGAAATAGATAAAATTTAAAGTTTAAGTAGGTTAAAAATGTACAAATTACTGTTTGGTTTGTCAGATGTGCAATTTTATATGAAACCAGAAGATGGCAGACTTGATGTACAAATGAATTGTTCACTTGTAAAAGTGTTCCATTTTAAATGGTGGTATAGAAAGATATACTAGATATTCTTAATTGGAAGCCTGCTTTCTGAAGAGAGTTTTGAGAAATACACAGAGCGTATGGAATAAAATACAAGTAAACTCTACATTTGAAAAATCTTCAATATTATGAGCTGTGTCTCTGTTTCCCCCCCTCCATAATGAGTTCAGCATAGTCTAACATATGTTTATTTGGAGTAGTATTAAGGTGTGATTAGCTGTATATTCTTAAGTTCCTGTGACTTTGTTCTAGAGTTGCTAATTGAAATATGTACGAAGTATTTATGGAAAGCAAACTTTCTAAGTCTATTAAGTGTGTATAAATATGATACAGTGTAATTGAAAAATGACAAGATTTGGATTTTGCTTTTGCTTCCTGAGCCAGGCAGCTTATTAGTAACCTTCGTTATCTCTGATTGATTTATGCCTAAGATTCACTAACTAGTTTCTAGTATCAGAAGAATGTTCTTAGCTTGCTGATTGAATTACTTATACCAGGCTTTAAATTAGGTTTTATTTTGTATGTGGGGGAGGATTGAACTTAGGGCTTTGAACTTGCTAGTAAGTGTAGTACAACTGAGTCATGCCCACAATCCTTTTAAAATCAAGAAATTTTTAAAGTATATTGAAGTGCTTGTGGAAAAGATACATTAACACAAGGTGCCAATGGGTGAGTGGCTTTGACGAATATGTCCTAAGTGCATGGACAGAAGTGACAGTGTAAAACCCTGGTAGACAATGTACTGGAGGGTTGGAACTTGAGTATGGCAATGAAAGGAGCAGAGATTTCAGCAGCATCTGTTTTTCTCTCCACTTTCTCCCTTTGTCTCTCTTCTACTTTACCTAATGTGATGCTGAAGTTCTCTGTAATTTACTTTTGGGCTTTGTAGTTTTGTATCTTTGTGTTTTAGCTAATAATTAGGAAAACAACATATTCAGCTCTCTGTCACAACAATCAGTTAACTTTCAGAAAAGCATGTCAGAGAAAGAAAAATTTTGGTAGCAGCACCAGTATTGATTTAATCTAAAGTTTATCATATTGTGTGTCATTAATTCTAATAATCTCAGCATTCCATCTTAATGTATTCTCTTTGTAGAAACCTTCATTGTATTGTCTTTGATAGAACTTTAACATGAAATGGTCTTAGGTTTAATGAAATTGCCATTCCTATGTCGTAGATTGATTCGGAATCCTAGGTGGGTAAGGAAAGAATGCTTTTCTGGTGGATTTGCCACTGATGACACCACCTTTATTTCTTTTCATAGAACTGCTGGGCTATAACAAGGTTTTGTTCTTGTGCAGTGAGATACTCTGTTGTAGCTCAAATTCAAATCTCAGAAAGATCAGAGTTAATGGAAAACCAAATGGAAAGCACAAAGTCACCACGCCATGGAAGTCAGGAAGCCATACTGGGCTTTGTACCCTCTGCTTCCTTCCATTGCTTTTCATCTGAGAACCTTTTTAAGGTTCCTCTTCTGCCTTTGTGTTTTTACGAAATAAAATCGTAATGTAAGAACATGGAGAGTTATGAAGCATGAAATTCCATAAATATTTATGCCAAACCTCAAAAGTAGACAAGTCCTATTTTCTTGACATATTGGGGTCGTATTTCACAATTGACCTCTTGAATTGAAAAATAGTAGGAGTTAGTATGCCCTTTTCTTTCTTTCCTTTTTTCTTTATTTGTTTTCATTGTTTTAATGAGTTTTAGATGCTGGGAGCTATCCTTTAGGTTCATGTAAGTTTCAGTGGACTATCTTTTATTCTGGTTTGTGTCTTCTTGAGAGTCAATACTCTTATCAAAAGAAGCAATTATGTACAATTTTAGGCTTTGCCATAAGCTATTTAATCTGTTTTTGTGGATTTGTTTGTTACTAAATGAAAAATAAATCTTGTCAAGGCTAATAAGTAGATTTGCTTCTAAAGTCCTATTTCAAATTAGCCTTCTCATTTTGTTTCCTCTACCACTTGGAATCTGGGTCCATGATGGGTATATCTGTCCTTTGAAATTATTGCTTCTTTACAAAAAAGAACCAAACCCTTACCAAATAATAATAATACTAGAGAGAATGTAGAAAATACAGACAAGCAGAAAAGATACAACTATGCCACCCTGCTGCTATTTTTTTTCTAGTGTTTTTAGAAGTGTGTGTATAGGCTGCTTAGTACAAAGAAAACATTGAACAATGGATAAAGTCATTTCTACAGAAGTGATTTTTTTTTGGATGTTTTACCCCTTGGGTAATTTCATTTGCTTTCTATATAATGAATAAAAAATAAATTATTTTTTCTGTGTTTTGATTAGTAAGGTTGGCTCATACCTTATGGTACACTTGTGACTTAGTAGTAGATAGTAAATTCTGTAGTGTAAGTTAAGTAAAAAGTGTCGGATAAAAGAGGTGATTTGGCAATTAGGAATAATCTTTTTTTTTTCCTTGTGCTGGTCCTAGGGCTTGAACTCAGGACTTGGGTGCTGTCATTGAGCTTTTTTGCTCAAGATTAGTGCTCTGCCACTTGAGCCATATCTCTAGTTTCCAGATTTTTTTTTTTTTTTTTAGTAGCTAATTGGAGATATGAGTCTCATGGACATTTCTGCCTGGGCTGGCTTTGAACCGTGATCCTCAGATCTCAGCCTCCTGAGTAGCTAGGATTACAGGTGTGAGCCACCGGCGCCCAGCTGAGTTCAGTAAATTCTTAAGAGTGAGGATGGAAAAAGGCATGCATTTATCAACTCTCTACCTTATCTCATAATTTAACAATTATTGTCACAGGATTTTGAGAAACATTTCTTGTAAAAGTCTGGCTTGGTTTTCGTTTCAGCTGCTGCATTTTTCCTCACATATGAATATGTGAAGTGGTTTTTGCATACTGATTCAGCTTCCTGTTTCATGCCTGTGAAGCATATGTTGGCTGCCTCTGCTGGAGAAGTGGTGAGTAACACGTTTTGTGGTACCAGTAATTAATTAAAAAGACTTAAACCTACTTTTACACTGATAGAAAAATTGCGCACAATTTTTATACTTGCTGATATTTTAGCACATGTGTATATTGTGCAATGCATTTATTTATGTGTCTGTGTTGAGGCTGGAACTCAGGGCCTGGGCACTGTCAGCTATAACTTCCAATATTTTGGCGGTTAATTGGAAGAGTTTCACGAGCTTTCTTGCCCAAGCTGGCTTTGAACCAAGATCTTCAGATTTCAGCCTTCTGAGTAGCTAGCATGCAGGAATGAGCCACTGCCACCAGCTTACCATTTATTTTTGTACTGAAGTTTGAACCCAGGGCTTTGGGTATGCTCAAATAAGCACTCTACCACTGAGCCATGTCCCAGCCTTTATTCTGCAATGTTTAAATCAAGGTAAACATGTCCAGCTCCTCAAATTTTAATATTTATGTATTATAAAATTGATTTAATTTAAAAATAGAAAAACAATTCTTTTAGCCAGGTATGGTAGGGGCTCCATCTTGCAATTCTGGTTATTTGGAAATAGAAATTAGGGGTTCACAGTTTGAGGCCAGCCTGGTCATAACATTTCTTGTGATGCGTGGTGCCAGTTGCTTACACTTGTAATCTCAACCTAAGAGGGTGAGATCTGAAGATCTTGGTTCAAAGACAGCTGGAAAGTCCGTGAGACTCTTACCTCCAATTAACCAAAAAGCCAGAAGTGAAGCTGGTAGTCAAGTGGTAGAGTACTATCCTTGAGTGGCCTTAAACTGCGTCCTGAGAAGCTGGGATTATAAATTCCTTGCTTTTATTTTATAATTGCATTTGTACTGATCAACTTCTGATATCTTTTCCTAGGTTTTGTATTTGGCTTACATTTCCCAGTGTGCTGTTGGAAGTAAGCAGTAAATAATGAACTTGGAATTTATCTCATGTCATAGGAGTCCACATGTGCCTCAAACCTAGTGTTCATGTTGAAGAACAGGCTTTCTTCAGTTGCTAAACTTTCTGTATTTTAGACTTACCAAGAAAATATGAGATCTTATAATACAGCAGTTAGATTTTTCATGCTAATGATTTATCTCTTCAGTTTTAGAAAACATTGTATATTTTAATGCCTGTGTTATCTGAAGTTGTTATTTTTTATGAGTGTGAGCCTTTTAAATATAATAACCTTCTTGTATGGGTTATTGAGCAGAAGAGGTGAGAGAAGTGGACTGTGGAATTAGGAAACAAGTATCCACAGACTAGAGTTATGCAGTTCTGGGACATGTTCATCTTCATCCTTTTTGCTCCTCTTAGGAATTTTTGGTCCCTTAAGCAATAAGGCCTAGCATCTGGCACCTGTTAATAGTTTCCATGGTTCCTGGACAAGCTTATGAAGATTGGCCAGTAGAAGGTCATAGACCCATAGGAATCATTTCTTGATGGTGACTTTAATTGATCAACTTGTTTTTGTAACTTGTTTCAGTTTCCTAAAACATAAACTCTGACTCATGCTAAAAATAGAATAAACAGGTGAATTTAGAGGAAATAGGTTTTCATATGTAAAATAACAAGGAAGAGAAAATGAAAACAAAAGCTGCCCGGGGTCAGCAAGGTATAGAAGCCTAGAAATAAGAAATAGCATAGTGGGGTCATCATTGTATGACACACTGCTCTCATACAAACTTATGTTGCAAGCAGGTTGCCTAGAAACAATACCATATTTTGTTGTTATTGAGCATGCACACAGTTCCTTTGTTATAGCAACCATGGAAACAACTCAAACTAAGGAACACTGTCAAAATAATAACCATTCCTTGTAGCAAGCAGCTTGATTAAATCTTAATGATGAATCAATACAAGTATAATTACAATCTTTTACCTTATGCTTGCAATTTGAAATACAAGAAAATCGATCAAATAAGATTTAATAGGTAACCACAGCAAGAGGGACCCATTTGTGCCCTTTTTATTAGTAAGTTTGCTGTGCCAAATCTCTAAATCCCTACTTCAATTATTTTACAGCTCAGATTTCATCACACATAGAATAAGTGCTCTGAGAAGAAGGATCTGTAATTATATCCAAGATTGGAGCAGGTTTCCTTTAGTGGTGTGGTTGCTGTAATATTACAGTAGTAATTTTTTAAAAAAAGGTTTTTGTGATTTGACTTTTTTTTTTAAATTTGCTGGTCCCAGAGCTTGAATTCAAGGGCCTGAGCACTGTCCTTGAGCTTTTGTGCTCAAGGTTAGTGCTCTATCACTTGAGCCATAGCTCCACTTCCAGCTCTTTGTGATTAATTGGGGATAAGAGTCTCACGGACCTTCCGGCTCAGGCTGACTTCGAACCTTGATCCTTAGAACCCAGCCTCCTAAGTAGCTAGGATTACAGGTGTGAAACACTGACTGTTTTTATATTTTATCCTACTTGTGGATTAGTTCATGTCAATTTTTTTTTTTTTTTGGGTCCGGTCATGGGGCCTGAACTCTGGGCCTGGGCGCTGTCCCTCAGCTCTTCAGCTCAAGGCTAGCGCTCTACCACTTGAGCCACAGCGCCACTTCCAGCTCTTTTCTTTTTGCTTATGTGGCGCTGAGGAATCGAACCCAGGGCCTCATGCATGCAAGGCAAGCGCTGTACCACTGAGCCACCTTCCCAGCCCCCTGTCAATTTTTTTTTAGAAGTGAAAGGACACTACTGAAAGTTCCTTGCAGACAAAAGTAGCTGTTGCATAGGTGTGTAGGTGACATGTGGCAGTTCTCGCACACATACAGGCTGGTAGTATGCCCTTTTCTAGTCTTGGATGGTGGTTTCAGATCAGCCTTAGCAAAAAGTTAGCAAGATCCTATCTCAACAAATAAGCAGAGCATGGTACTTCATGCCTGTGATCTCAGTTACTTGGGAAGCATAAGTAGGATGATGATCTGAAGCCAATCTAGACAAAAAACACGAGACCCTATCTGAAAGACAAAGCTAAGAGGGCTGGCAGTATGGCTCAAGGATAGAATACTTCCTAGCAAGTACAAATGCCCTGACTTCAGTACTCACTATGGCTCAAGGGGAAGTAAAGACAATGTGGTGAAGAAGTTCACGATAACACTGCCTCAGAAGCTGCTAGTCTGTAAAGGTGGATGGAGATAGAGGTGTTCCCAGGGCAGTGTCACACAGAAGCTGGAGCAGGGCCTCGTGTGACTCAGGTACTTTTCTTGCTGATACATCTGACCATATCCCTGTGCTAATGGGAACGTTTGCCCTGCTTGCCAACCTGGAAGCAGTGAATCTTTCATTTTCATGTGAAGGCATGGGATACATGATGCAGGCCAACTTAGGAACTGTTAGCTATGAAAACCACAAAATGATCCCATTACCACCTTTTAAAACCCTCTGGTTCGTTCCTTACGTAGACTATTTTATCAGCTTACCTGGATTCCTTTTTCACTGGCTGCTCTTGTTCTGCTCATCTTGGCTTCATTTCCTGTTTTGTTGACCTTGCCTAGAAGGAAGCATGGAAGTAATTGTGAGTACTTCATGACAGAAATGCTGTGTTGGAGAGGCTTGCTGTCTGGAAGTGCAGGTGGACATAACCTGTTTTCAGGTGGTACAGGTGTTTGAAGGTGGTACAGGTGCCACTTCCTTGAGGGGTGAGAGTAGAAAGGGTTGGTTGGTTTGGTTTGGACTGCAGTGGGTAGATGGATGCTGGTACAGAAAGGCCTCACATAATGATTTTTCTTTGAGCCACACTCAGTTGATACTTAAAATAGTGTATATTTAAGTACATAACATATTTTGGGCCATAGAGACTAAGCTGTTACAGTAGTGAAACAAATCCACCATCACTGGACATATCAGTGGTTGCAGGCTGCTCCTCGTTCAGGCTTAATAGTGAAATCTACAAATCTATGCATGGGGCTTTTGTCATCCCCTGTGAAGTCATGGCTCACTTGTATTACAAAAGTACGAAAGTGAAAAAAGCCATATCAGGCGTAACTTTGGTTGTATAAAATTCTGTGAACAGCTTTTATACACAAGGCTGCCTTTTGTTAACTTGTTAATATTGGCTATTAAGTGGGAAAAAAAATTTAAGGACAAAAATTTGACCTCAAAAGTACAAGGTTCTGAGTTCAAATTCCAGTACTGTTAAAAAAGAGTTTGATACACTTATGCCTAACTGAAATAGATAAAATTTAAAGTTTAAGTAGGTTAAAAATGTACAAATTACTGTTTGGTTTGTCAGATGTGCAATTTTATATGAAACCAGAAGATGGCAGACTTGATGTACAAATGAATTGTTCACTTGTAAAAGTGTTCCATTTTAAATGGTGGTATAGAAAGATATACTAGATATTCTTAATTGGAAGCCTGCTTTCTGAAGAGAGTTTTGAGAAATACACAGAGCGTATGGAATAAAATACAAGTAAACTCTACATTTGAAAAATCTTCAATATTATGAGCTGTGTCTCTGTTTCCCCCCCTCCATAATGAGTTCAGCATAGTCTAACATATGTTTATTTGGAGTAGTATTAAGGTGTGATTAGCTGTATATTCTTAAGTTCCTGTGACTTTGTTCTAGAGTTGCTAATTGAAATATGTACGAAGTATTTATGGAAAGCAAACTTTCTAAGTCTATTAAGTGTGTATAAATATGATACAGTGTAATTGAAAAATGACAAGATTTGGATTTTGCTTTTGCTTCCTGAGCCAGGCAGCTTATTAGTAACCTTCGTTATCTCTGATTGATTTATGCCTAAGATTCACTAACTAGTTTCTAGTATCAGAAGAATGTTCTTAGCTTGCTGATTGAATTACTTATACCAGGCTTTAAATTAGGTTTTATTTTGTATGTGGGGGAGGATTGAACTTAGGGCTTTGAACTTGCTAGTAAGTGTAGTACAACTGAGTCATGCCCACAATCCTTTTAAAATCAAGAAATTTTTAAAGTATATTGAAGTACTTGTGGAAAAGATACATTAACACAAGGTGCCAATGGGTGAGTGGCTTTGACGAATATGTCCTAAGTGCATGGACAGAAGTGACAGTGTAAAACCCTGGTAGACAATGTACTGGAGGGTTGGAACTTGAGTATGGCAATGAAAGGAGCAGAGATTTCAGCAGCATCTGTTTTTCTCTCCACTTTCTCCCTTTGTCTCTCTTCTACTTTACCTAATGTGATGCTGAAGTTCTCTGTAATTTACTTTTGGGCTTTGTAGTTTTGTATCTTTGTGTTTTAGCTAATAATTAGGAAAACAACATATTCAGCTCTCTGTCACAACAATCAGTTAACTTTCAGAAAAGCATGTCAGAGAAAGAAAAATTTTGGTAGCAGCACCAGTATTGATTTAATCTAAAGTTTATCATATTGTGTGTCATTAATTCTAATAATCTCAGCATTCCATCTTAATGTATTCTCTTTGTAGAAACCTTCATTGTATTGTCTTTGATAGAACTTTAACATGAAATGGTCTTAGGTTTAATGAAATTGCCATTCCTATGTCGTAGATTGATTCGGAATCCTAGGTGGGTAAGGAAAGAATGCTTTTCTGGTGGATTTGCCACTGATGACACCACCTTTATTTCTTTTCATAGAACTGCTGGGCTATAACAAGGTTTTGTTCTTGTGCAGTGAGATACTCTGTTGTAGCTCAAATTCAAATCTCAGAAAGATCAGAGTTAATGGAAAACCAAATGGAAAGCACAAAGTCACCACGCCATGGAAGTCAGGAAGCCATACTGGGCTTTGTACCCTCTGCTTCCTTCCATTGCTTTTCATCTGAGAACCTTTTTAAGGTTCCTCTTCTGCCTTTGTGTTTTTACGAAATAAAATCGTAATGTAAGAACATGGAGAGTTATGAAGCATGAAATTCCATAAATATTTATGCCAAACCTCAAAAGTAGACAAGTCCTATTTTCTTGACATATTGGGGTCGTATTTCACAATTGACCTCTTGAATTGAAAAATAGTAGGAGTTAGTATGCCCTTTTCTTTCTTTCCTTTTTTCTTTATTTGTTTTCATTGTTTTAATGAGTTTTAGATGCTGGGAGCTATCCTTTAGGTTCATGTAAGTTTCAGTGGACTATCTTTTATTCTGGTTTGTGTCTTCTTGAGAGTCAATACTCTTATCAAAAGAAGCAATTATGTACAATTTTAGGCTTTGCCATAAGCTATTTAATCTGTTTTTGTGGATTTGTTTGTTACTAAATGAAAAATAAATCTTGTCAAGGCTAATAAGTAGATTTGCTTCTAAAGTCCTATTTCAAATTAGCCTTCTCATTTTGTTTCCTCTACCACTTGGAATCTGGGTCCATGATGGGTATATCTGTCCTTTGAAATTATTGCTTCTTTACAAAAAAGAACCAAACCCTTACCAAATAATAATAATACTAGAGAGAATGTAGAAAATACAGACAAGCAGAAAAGATACAACTATGCCACCCTGCTGCTATTTTTTTTCTAGTGTTTTTAGAAGTGTGTGTATAGGCTGCTTAGTACAAAGAAAACATTGAACAATGGATAAAGTCATTTCTACAGAAGTGATTTTTTTTTGGATGTTTTACCCCTTGGGTAATTTCATTTGCTTTCTATATAATGAATAAAAAATAAATTATTTTTTCTGTGTTTTGATTAGTAAGGTTGGCTCATACCTTATGGTACACTTGTGACTTAGTAGTAGATAGTAAATTCTGTAGTGTAAGTTAAGTAAAAAGTGTCGGATAAAAGAGGTGATTTGGCAATTAGGAATAATCTTTTTTTTTTCCTTGTGCTGGTCCTAGGGCTTGAACTCAGGACTTGGGTGCTGTCATTGAGCTTTTTTGCTCAAGATTAGTGCTCTGCCACTTGAGCCATATCTCTAGTTTCCAGATTTTTTTTTTTTTTTTTAGTAGCTAATTGGAGATATGAGTCTCACAGACTGCCTAGGCTGGCTTCCAACTGCAGTCATCAGATCTCTGCCTTCTGAGTAGCTGGGATTACAGGTGTGAGCACCCGTACCCGGCAGGAGGGAATCTTTTGAGGTAGAGAAGGTATGATATCAAGGAATTAAGAATAGACTAACTACCTGAAGATTTCTGGTCCAAGTTAAGTACTGTTGGTTTTCTTCCCTTCCTCCATCCCTCCTTCTCTTCCTCTTTTTTCTTTCATTTCAGTCGTTGTACAAAGGAATTTCATGTCAACAAATCAGTTTATAAGTACAATGCATCTTAATGTCACCTCTTCCATCTTTCCCAAATGTTCTTATAATTGTGTATATACACATTTATGACCCAGGAAGGCCTTTAATGTTAAAGCAGTTGTGCCACTTAATTTTGGAAAGACAAATCCTTATGTATCCAAATGGAGCCCTAATCTCACCTTACTATCCATATTCCTAAGATTCCCATAGAAAGAGTGGAACTGATCTATTTTTGTGTCTTCCTGCTGCCCTTTCCTCAGCCCTTCCTTCTGCCCTTTTGTAGCAGTATACCATGTGGTTTGACCAGTTCTTCAGTCTTTAGTTTATTATCTGTGAAAATAAATAGGCTACCTTTAGAGTATGAAGGTTAAATCCTGGAAGTGTGAATTTGCAGTACTAGGTACTTCACCTAGTATATTACCAAGGCCAGTGTTAGAATTATTTGTTGACTGGTAAAGGTGTGAGTATGAGAGCCACGGACTCAGCTGGAGTTTCTCCTCCAGGTTCAGGTGCTGGGCTTGGGTGTTGGTGGAGCCTTGGGGAGAATGTGGAAGGGTAGAGTTGCCAGCTGTTGACCAGCCTTGAACCTGCTGACATGTTGCCTTGCTTCCAGTTAAGCAAGGTTCAGTCTTTGACCAATCAGGATTGGGACTCTACCATCTTGCCACATGCTGTGTAGGTGTTGAGGAGAAATGAGAAGTAAATGTGCTTATCGAGTGGCTCATCAATGCACACAGAATGCTGTGAGGGCATAAACAGGACAAGGGAGGGAAGCTTTGGGGCTGACAACTATGCACGTTCTTTAAGGACCATTTTAGGTTAAAACAACAGAGGCTGGGCGCTGGAGGATCATGGCTTGAAGCCAGCCCAATCACGAAAGGACAAGTGCCCAAGCCCTGAGTTGAAGCCGCTGGACTGGTGCAAAACAACAACAAAAACAAAGTAACCAAGAAACAGCCAGTTTGTTTGACATTTTGAACTAAACTAAATGTATAGAATACATTTTTATTATCAATTGTTCTTATGAGAAAATTGTCGATTTTTGCAGTAGTTACTTACTTTTTAGGATATATTTAAATGGATGTATTTCAGGTTGCCTGCCTGATTAGAGTCCCTTCTGAAGTGGTCAAGCAGAGGGCACAGGTCTCAGCTTCGTCAAGGACATCACAGGTTTTCTCTAACATCTTGTATGAAGAGGTAAGATGTGTTTTTGTTTCCAGTATCTGTCTATGTTGAGGAAGATTTTAAAGTTAGTATATTGGTATGAACAATTTGGGACGTGTTCTATGTGCCTTGGAGGGGAGTTTCATATCCTTTTTGCCTACATTGTATTTGCCTTTGATTTATTTCAGTTTTTTTATTTTTACGTCTTTTTCACATTTTGAAACAAATGTATTGAGTGCTACTCTTGTAGGTGCCATGAATTTAATCTTCCTATAGTTATTTCAGAAGCAGATTTGGAACAAATGATAAATATGTAAAGTGAATTCAGATATATTAAAATATATCCTTATAGAATTTAAAGGTCCACAGAAGGAGAATATAATAATAGACTGGTAGTATAACCAATGTGATAATATCTATATCACAACATGATTTCTCTTCTGATGTGTACTAGCTGTGAGCCAGAAATTATTCCCCTTAGCCATGTGAGTATGAAGCACTTAATCTGTTTTCTTTATATGTTGTATAGGCTGGCCCGGAACTCCTGGGCTCAAATGATCCTCCTGCCTCAGATTTTAGAACAGCTAGGACTACAGGCATGTTCCACCATAGCTAGTGACTTTTTTTTCAAATACAAGTCAATCTAAATGAGTGTAGACTTTAGAAAAACTTCCTTTGGACTAGGGCTTGAACTCAGGACTTTTCCTTCTTGTTTAATTTTTTTTACTCATGGCTACATCTCTAATTCCAGGTTTTTGCTGGTTAATTGGAGATGAGAGTCTTATGCTTATGTCTGTCTGGGATGACTTTGAACCCTAGTTCTCAGGTCTTACCCTCCTGAGAAACTAGGATTATAGAAGTGAGCCACTGGTGTCTGACCAGAAAAATTATTGTAAATGGTCACCTCAGTGAAGAAACACTGAATATCCCCTTATATGAATGAGGTCGGTCTTAAAGGATCCCTATGGGACCATGTGGATGGTTAAGTAGATAAATGCTTGTTTGTCCTGAAATATTTGTTTTTATTGGTTGGTTATTAATGAATTTCTGATATTAAAACTATAAAATAAAATTTTCTGTATTTTTGGTGCTGGTCCAGGGGATTGAAATCAGGGCCTGGGTGCTGTCCCTGAGCTTTTTTACTCAAGGCTAGCGCTCTACCATTTGAGCCATCACTTCACTTATGACTTTTTTGGTACATGATTGGAGATGTGAATCTCATGGACTTTCCTGCCCAGGCTAGCTTGGAACCCTTAATCCTCAGATCTCAGCCTCCCGAGTAGCTAGGATTACAGGCATGAGCCACTGGCACCTGGCTGTAGCTTCTTGTTTAAAAAGGAGCTAACCTGGGCTCTGGATACCATAAGCCAGTTTTGAACATTTGACTGTGGTGAGGATGAACGTTTTAGAATGATTCAGAATGTCATGTGGAAATGTTTGCTATTCTAATTTTCTCATCTCTTGTTTGTTTCAGGGTATCCAGGGATTGTACCGAGGCTATAAAAGCACAGTTTTAAGAGAGGTAAGTCCACTCAATTCCAATAAGGAAGTACAAAGGAAAGATGAGATCGTCCAGTAAATTTAAATTTATTAACAATCAAGAATACATTTGGAGCCGGGCGCTGGTGGCTCACGCCTGTAATCCTAGCTACTCAGGAGGCTGAGATCTGAGGATTGCGGTTCAAAGCCAGCCCGGGCAGGAGAGACTGTGAGACTCCTATCTCCAATAAACCACCAGAAAACCGGAAGTGGCGCTGTGGCTCAAGTGGTAGAGCGCTCGCCTTGAGCTGAAGAGCTGAGGGACAGCGCCCAGGCCCAGAGTTCAAGCCCCATGACCAACAAAAAAAAAAAAAAAGAATACATTTGGAGAAACTAGTTTAAAGAATCAAAAGGGAAATTATGATCCCTCTTTCAAACGCTGTTGAGTCTTACCATAATTCTCAGATCTATCAGAACACTAGCTTGCTTTGCTGGGGGAGCCCTTCCTGCACTCGGAACTGCCACACAGCTTATAGCTAACTGTTCCTTATAGATAAAATATTAAAGAATATCAACTTAAACTATCAAGAACTAGAGGTGTGGCTTAAGTAGTTACAGAGCCAACAGTGAGCAGATAGAGAGCACAAGTCCCTGAGTTCAAGCCCCAGGATTGATGAGCATGCGCGCGTGCTCTCACACACACACACACACACACACACAAATTATTTCCTGTATACAGAAAATTGGCAATGGAAAGAGACACTCTTTTTTGTTTTTTTGGTGCCAATAGTAGGGGCCTGGGTGCTATCCCTTGCCTTTTTCATTCAAGGCTGGTATTCTACCCACTTGAGTCAGATCCATTTTGGACTTTTGTGTGTGTGTGTGTGTGTGTGTGTGGTTTATTGGAGATGAACGTCAGGGATTTCCCTGGGTAGGCTGGCTTTGAACCCTCTCCTCAGATCTCAGCCTCCTGAGTAGCTAGGATTACAGGTGTGAGTCACTGGCACCTGGCCATCATTTATACAAATAAGAACTTGAGTTTGTCTCTTCTGTTTTCTACTTGTAGTTTCTGGGCTACTAAAGCATGCTAATTTGTAAAAATGTTTTCAATGTAAATAATATCAAAGGTGGTAGAATGCTGAAATTCTTTGAAGGCTTTTCTTTTATTTCCTGTAGTTTTTTTACAAACTTTTTAGTTTTAGCTGTAGATTATAATCTTTTCAAGGCACATGACACCATACATGACTTAAAGATTTGCCTTTCACAAGGTAATCTAGTACAAATCTAGTTAGCTTAGCTCTTGAAGAACTTAGAGAGACATACTGAATGTTTCAAAATAAGTCATTTGTGTGAAGATGTCTGTCTTTAAGAAACATCACCCATCTTGGGCCTTCATTCTGTACTGATTTTCTGCCTCACTAAATCCCTGTTACTTTCTCACATTTCACTGGGGAGGTTGAAAAAGGGGAGGAGGGAGTAATAAGCCTTTTTTTGCTGTTCTGAAAGGCACTGAATAAATGAATATATTTACATTCCAGAGAATACCCATTTTGCATACAAAAAGATAAAACACATGGTTACAACTGTATTCTGTTTATCAAAAAATTTGTTTTGACATCTGTTGTGCTAGTAATTAATTTTTTTGGCTACAATCCTTGCAAACAGTGTGACCTTACTGAGATGACTTTGTTTACACAAAACGGCAATGCTTTGTTAGAAATTTAATTGGGGTCTTCTGCATTATGCGGGTTTATAAAAGATCCTTCAGACCTGATTTTATTTGAAGTATTGCTTCTGTACAGATTCTGAGATGGAACGAGAGAAGAATTATTGCTGAGTGCAACATAGCTTCCTCTCCAAGTGAGGAAAAATAAGAAGTGATAGGTCTGCTTTAAACAAATTTTTCGCATTATAAAGAGGTTCGATTCTTCCATTATTCTGACAGCAATATCAAATCTTTTGCCAAGAGCTTGTTTGATTGTTTCAATAAGAAATACATGGAAGCTTTAGTGAGAATCACTGGGAAACTTACACAGTTTATTCTGTGTGCAATTTTTTCTTTCAAATGGTTTTATCTCCCTAGCAGTAGCCCATTAGAATGAGATTGAGGTTTGAATCTATGCATTATAAGGTAGATTATGTTTGTTGTTCAGATTTGTGAATTCTGTCACACTTTTTAAAATTACTTAACTTTTTTTTTTTTTTACCACATCTGATGTTTGTGAAGATTGCATCCTTATTCCTTATGTTCTAAGCTATTTTACTTACTGAGAATTTTACACTCAGTCTAAGCAAGGTCAACAGATGATGCTGTTTACCTCACCCTTTCAGTTTTCATTTTTCTCATGATGCTGCCAAATTAGATGTGGCCGAGCATCTTGGGGCAATGGTTTTATTGCAGTAAGATGAAAGTAGCTGCTGTCATAGCCAAGGTGATTTCAGATGGTCCATCGACCTACAAATCCTGTACAGAACAAGCAAGTAATGTTGACTGTGAATTACAACAAGTTTTGTAGAGAAAGCAAGCTGAGGAAGGCAGTTTGTTTCCAAAGAAGTTGGAATAAGCTCAGTTCAGCAGATGTTTTTATCCACAAATTCTACTTAGGAGTCAGTTTTGAGCATCTGCTGCAGGTAAGCATTGTGCAAGGACACTCTTAAGGGCTTCAAACTCAGTGGAGAAACATATAGGGAATGTACCCTTTGAGGTACAATATGTGTGTACCCAAGATGCACCCGGACTTAGAGAGGAAGTGCTGTTGAAGTTGTACTCAAGCGTGATTTGTTACATGAGTCAAAATGAGTTTTAGCTGAACATAGTGGGGCATACTGATAATCCTAGTACTTTGGAGTATTAGGCAAGCAGCTTGAGGCCAGCCTGGGATATAGGGCTCTGGCCCTCCCTGCTCTAAGGAGGGGGAAATGGAGGGTGTGAGGGAGGGAGAGACTAAGGAGGGGGAAGAGATGGAGGGAGGGAGAGATGGAGGAAAGAAAAGAGGGAGGGGGCGGGAGAGAGACAGACACACACTCTTGACTTGAGTCTTGTCGGAGTGAAGGTGACAGGACAATATAAACAGCATGAGCAAAGTCACAAGGAAAGAACGTGTGTGTGTGTGTGTGTGTGTGTGTGTGTGTGTGTGTGTGTGTGTGTTACTTAGCAGAATTGAGGATTTCATGCCATAGGAGAGAGTGGTTTTCTGATGCTTCAAGAGTGCACCAATGCATTCTGGGTATTTGCAAGTAGTTAAATCCCTCACCTCAGCTGGTGATTTGTCAGGGGACTGGAGGAGCACACAGGGGAAAAAGCACTTGTAGCCTGAAGAGCTGGGAAGACAAACCATTGGTGTGTGGTTCCTGACTGCACACATCAGAAGGAGAAAGCTGGTTTGATTCAGTGGCAAGGTGATCCATGTTAGCAATGAATCTGGTTTCGTTTGGGTAGAGTTAGGAGGTTAGATTAGGATTATTTCCTCCACATCCAAGTTTGCTACAAGCAACCAAGCAGTCCAAGCAACTCATTCAGTGTGTTCTCTATGATTCCTGTATTTAGGGTGCAAAACACTACTCACTCAAACTGTATTTCACAGTAGATACAGTACCTTTCTAAACTTGGCTATGAGAATTGCCCCAAAGCTTTTGACTATATACAGGACCCTCTAGGACTCAGCCTCTTGATTATCCTTGAAAGTTACCTTCTTGGCTCTTCTGTCTGCCCTTGGTGCATCTCCCAGATTCTTCATGGTATGGTAGTCTTTTGTGTGTCTTCCAGAGGCTTCCTGTCCTAGGAACTTGGTAGTTTGTATTTTGTTGTTTTATGTTAGTCTCATGTGTATACCATGCCAGGTGGACTACCACTTGAGCCACACCTCCATTTTCATATTTTTGAGGTTATTTCAAATCACTTCATAAAAATGTCATTGTTCTTATGATTGTATAGTACTTCATCGAGCACATAAGTCATAAAGATTACAATGAGGAATATAGAACAGTCAGATGAAAGAAATAGTGAGGTCTGCAGAGGCCCAGGTGCAGAAATTAGGTGCTCTCCCTCAGGACACTCAGTGTGTTCACCAACCTAGATGTTCCCTGAAAGCAGTCTTTTGCATTAAAAAAATATTGTGGCTTTGTTTTCCCTTTGAGTTTTCATAGAGACTTTGTCATGTAGGCATGATTGACAACATTGGCCACTGGTATCAGTTCCAGCTTCAGCTTCTTTCCCTTCCCAAGAAGTTGTGAATCAGACTGAAAATTCCAGCTATCTAACCAGGTGATTGTTCACCACAGCTTCCCTCCAAGGGCTTCTGAAGAGTTACCACATTAAAGTCACCACACCAAGTCACCACATTAAAACAAAAGATACTCCGATCACCTAGAAAATTACAAAGGTCTTAGGAGTTCTGTGACAACTGTTGTCAAAGACTACATGAACCACTATGGACTAGTTCATAGTGATGGGTAGATATCACAAATGTGCTGCAGTGCATATACTGTACCTGTGTCTTTTGGTATAGTTGAGACAGTTTTTAGGTTACACACCAAGAAATAAAATTACTTGGTTAAAGGTGCAGACATTTGTAGTCTGATAGTTATGCTTCATAGAAGTACCAGTTGACACCTTTGTGAACAATGAGGGAGCTGTTTTCCCTGCCTCCTAGATCACTGGGACAATTGTTTTTTCTTTTTTGGATATCTTCTGTTTGTTTGCCAATCCTAGGGCTTGAACTCGGGGCCAGGGTGCTGTCCCTGAGCTTTTGAGCTCAAGGTTAGTGCTGTACCACTTAAGCCATGGCCAGTTTTTTGGTGGTTAATTGGAGATAAGAGTCTCCTGGGCTTTTCTGCCTGGGCTGGCTTTTAACCATAGTCATCAGATCTCAGTCTCCTGATTAGTAGCTAGGATTATAGGTATGAGCCATCAGCACTTGGCACATTTTCTTCTTTTTATGTTTGGGTTGTGCTTTGTCTTCCTAGGTAACATAAAATTTCTCTTGAAACTATTAGATTTTTATCTCTGCACTGTGCACAGAGGCTAGCATAATATCTTTCAAA